CCTAAATAAAACTGATCGCATTCACGAGGTATTTTATAAATGCAATTCTTTGTCCTTTCTTGTTCATTGTTAGGTTTGGTTTTGGACAAAATAGATCTCAACCTGTTTGTTGATAGGGTTCAATGGAATAATTCAAATGTAGTCCTAAAAGAAACGGATGGCAAAAAAGGAAAAATCAAAGAAGCGGCTCTAATTATGCTAAATAAGGCCAATTGTGTCGCAAATTCCTCGGCAGAATGTAGTAGGATCTGGTTACCAATATTGAAAGAGGAAGTTATTAATGAGAAAATACCAGAATTAGTAAGTCAGTAACATATAGAGGATACATCATTTATGTTTTTTAAATAACGAAACATAAAATCAGAATTTTGGTGTTTATTGAAGGTAAACTAAATGCACGAACAAATACTTACCATGTCGGGATAGTATTATGAGGTTTTTTTCCTGGTTTTTTCCCTCATAATTTCCTATGGAATCACTAACAGGAGAATTTTACTGTCATCATGTCATGTGTTTGTCTTTTTAAAGACGAATTACATGCTATGATTTTTTCTGACGGATATTCTCAAGTTAAAGTTGATTTCATGTAATCGAATGAACTATCTTATAAGTAAAGTCGTCCCAGGAGCGCAACTCAACAATATTGGCAATATCATTTTAAAGTCGTCTACTTTAAAATGCATAATGTATGTCTGAATTGTCAATATAAATGAGTCAGATAAAATTAAATTATTAGAAGAATTTTTCACTATGTAACAAAAAACAAAATTTGTTTAATTTACTGTTTGTATTTTGAGAACGATTTCCGAAGTGGAAATTGAAACGTCAATAAACGTATTTTTATCTTTAATTGTGGCTTATTCCCAGTTAAATAGTAATTAATTTAAAATGCCACAAGAAAATAGCTTCAGAACAATAATTGTATAGTGTTGTCACTGTCAGTGTATTGCAATGAGCATAAGTTCTCTTGTGGCGGCGGCGGCGGCAGCAAGAATTATATTGAAGAAATGATCTTGATAGAGTTACGAGGTGTCTTATTGGTTGTAGTAAGTCTCTGCATTTTTTTGCTTGAGTCCAGAGCTCTCTAGTTGGAGTATTTCTGTTTAACCTAGCACACAACTTACGCCAGTTATATTTAGCGTGTTTTGGGATATGTACTTTTTAACTTTGAATTTTTAACTTTTCTTTTCTAATTAAATTCTTAATAAAAGTAAAGAAACAAATAGGAAAAGAACTAATAGCTCCGAATACCTACAGGTAAACGGTTTTTGTTTTGTTGCCGATAGAAAACTAATGATGCAATAAATAACCTATCAACAACATCAACGTCATTGTTATCTTTCCATTTTAATTTGCGTTGATATTATTTCAAGTATTTACTTAAATTAACAACAACAAATAACGTTTGTAACACACAATACAGTAGTATCGTTTTATATAATATAGAAACATTTTCAATAGCTTCTTATCCAATCATAGCTTTTAAAACCTCTGTTGTATGGAAACTTATGTATACCCTTATTAACTTTTACATATATCATCATCATCATTATATAACGGGGGTCCTACGGCGATTGCCGCTTCCCGCATTTCAGCCACCATCTTTGCCTATCTCTCCTCTTTTAAGCCTCTAGATTGCATTGTTTTTGTAATTTCTCTTCTCCAGGAATTTGGTGGTCTTCCCCTTTTCCTTCTTTCTGGCGGAACATACATTAAGGCTTTCTTTGACCACCGCTCCTCCTCCATTCTCATCACGTGACCATACCATTGTAATTGCCTTCCTTGTATTCTATCTGAAAGAGTGTCTCTAATTCCTGTACGTTTCGTATTTCCTCATTCCTGATTCTTTCCATTCTCGATACTCGACATGACCTTCTAAGATAAACCATTTCCACAACGTCTACTTTATCTCGTTCATGCTTTGTCATCGTCCAACATTCGGCACCATATGTGGTAATTGGTTCTACAATTGCTCTGTATACACGAAGTTTGGTATGTATCTTTATTTTATTAGACCACAGTAATGAATTCAGTATTCGGATGCATTTTTTCCCTTGGGTTATTCGGTTTTGTACATCTATATTAACTCTGCCATCTGCTGATATGATGCTTCCTAGATATTTATACTGGTTGCGACCTTTTATGACTGCGTTTTCAAGCCTCAGATCTGTGGAAGTTCCTCCAATTTTTAAATATTCTGTTTTGTTTATGTTTACAGTACGCCCCCATTTGGCATATTCGTCAAATAATTTTCGATTCATATAATTTATATCTTCCTCATCGGTTGCAACCACCACCTGATCATCTGCGAACAACAATGTATACAGAGTTTCTTGTCCCACTTCGATGCCCATAAATCTACATCCAATTCCTCAATGCTTCTTGGACGTATATTCTAAAGAGTGTCGGTGACAAACAGCATCCTTGCTTTAGACCTTTAGAGACTTTAAATTCATTTGAAGTTCTGGTTTCAATTTTTACACAACTAACTGCATTTTCGTACAATTTATATATCGCTCGGATATACGTCGAATACAATCCGGATCTTTCAAGGACCTCAAACATTTTCTTTAACGGGACACTATCATATGCTTTTTTAACGGGACACAAATACTTTTGCATATAAGACAAAGTATTTGTCTTCAGGACAGCACTGGAGAAGTACAATAGTGGCATTTCTGTCAACGATGTTGAAATAGATATATTTTTTTGATGAGATTAAATCACAATACTGATCAAGAAAATCGGAAACCAAAATCCGGCAAGGGAAGTCTAACAATAGAATGCAAGGCTTCCTCGGCCTTCAAAATGTAAAAGACGATGAGCATAATTTAAAAACTTGCTGATTTACTTATAAATTCTGGATTGCCATCTCTTCCGCATGGACTGAACTGCTAAATGATAACACGGATGGTATCAAATTCGTCACAACTTTCCCTTACTGGGTCGGCAGGTAAATCGGTATCCCAAAGCCGAATTGTCAAATTCGTAATCAAAAAGTAATTAATAAAAGACTGTCCCCTAGTGAGACAAAGTATTCTATAAATGTAATAGTATGGGGTATTTTTTAAAGTATATGTAACTACAAAAATTAATGCATAACGCGTAATTTTTCAACAAAAATCCCTATTGGTTTCAACTACTTTAGTACGGCAATGGTTTATGACCTTAAGGTAACCCTTAATCTCTATTTGACGATTTGCATTTGGAATGAGCTGCCAGTTGCAAACAGATTGGGTATAGGAATAAAAGAGGAGATCGTTTACTTCAGTATTATTAAACTAAAGATTTAAAGTATTATTAAACTAAAGATTTAGGTGTAGCAAACACCTTTTTCAGAACTTCTTAAGCTTGTGGAAGGCGAATCAGTGAATATTCTACTCGACCTTTTTAACTGCATCTACAAAAGAGGAGAAATACCAAAGGAATGGCTACTTTCAACTTTTGTAACCTTACCAAAAAAGGCAAATGCAAAACAGTGCACTGACTACCGCACTATAAGCTTAATGGGGCATACATTAAAAGTATTCATCAAAGTAATCCACTCAAGAATTAACAGAAAACTAGATGCAGATATTAGTAATACTCAATTCGGATTTCGGAACGGGCTTGGAACAAGAGAAGCACTATGTGCTTTATTGATTACAACAAAGCGTTTGATAAAGTTCGTCACGATCACTTAATGAAACTGCTAGTAGAAAAAAACTTGGATAAAAGGGACATTAGAATTATCTCTAAGATTTACTATAACCAGAAAGCAAATATCCGAATAGAGCAAGAGACAACGGAGGAAATCGAGATCAAGAAAGGCGTAAGACAGGGTTGTATACTCTCACCGACCTTATTCAATCTATACTCCGAAGACATTATAAACACAGCACTTTCGGATCAAAATATAGGTATTAAGATAAATGGCATCCGAATAAACAACTTGAGATATGCCGATGACACGGTACTAATCGCAGAAACTTGGGAAGATCTTCAAATACTAATTAACAAAATAGTAGAATGCAGTGAAGAACACGGATTATCACTTAACATAAGCAAAACAAAAATAATGCTAATATCTAAATCACCACAAAACTTCCCTGACATAACCGTGCATGATCAAAGAATCGAACGTGTAAGAAGATATAATTACCTGGGAACTGTTATCAACGAAAATAATGATTGCTCTGAAGAAATCAGAACCAGAATAGAGAAAGCTAGAGCCACATTTACTAAATTGAAAAAGGTGTTTTGCGGAAGAGATCTAAGTCTAAAACTTAAAATTCGCCTTTTGAGATGTTACGTTATGTCAGTTCTCCTCTACGGGATGGAAACATGGACATTGAAAAAGATCGATACCAAAAAGATAGAAACATTTGAGTTGTGGATGTATCGTAGAATATTAAGAATACCCTGGACAGAGAAAGTAACAAATGTGGAGGTTTTGCGGAGAGTGCGGAAAGAGAAAGAGCTGATACTGTTAAAAAGCACAAACTACAATATTTGGGACATGTTATGAGGGGAGATAAATACCAGTTGCTGCAATTGATTATACAGGGAAAGATAATGGGAAAGAGATCTATAGGAAGAAGAAGGCATTCATGGTTGAAAAACTTGAGAGAATGGTACAATTGCACCAATTACCAACTGTTTAGATCCGCAGCATCAAAAATACGCATAGCTTTGATGATAGCCAAACTTCGGAACGAAGACGGCACTTGAAGAAGAAGAAGAAACACCTTTTTCAGATTGTCTCAAAGGCATCTATATATGTGGATATCGCCTCAACATTCAAAGAAAAAACAATACAAAATCAAATAAACTATATCATGGTGACAAAGATTCAATTTTATAAAATTGAAATTATCAAAGCGGATTAAAAATATATGAACGTTTTCATTCTTTCAGACTATCATCATCAGTGAAAACATCTTAATTGATTTAAACTAGCCTTACTATGTGGCTGTTATGTTATGTTATATTATCGATAAAATAAACATTACAATGCTTACCTGTTATATATTCTACAAGTTGAATTATTGATCCGTTTGTCGCTACTATGTCTTCTACGATCTTCGAACAAGTCTTTGACAGCTGTCACTCCGAGGACAAACATAACCGGTATCATAGCGATTTCCTTCCCGAACGCGTTTATAGCCGGGAACCAATTGAGCAAAACTATAAAAATAAAATACAAATTTGCAACTCTATGAAATTGTTCTAGTAGATTACGCGGTAAAAACGAAAGAAGCGTATATTTTGTAGTCCTAATACGATTGTCTGGTCTGCGGCCGTTCGGATGTTCTTTTCGCGGTGTTTTCGGGGGCACAAGGTGATTGGGAACAACTACGCGGTACCGTTCTTCAGGCTCATCGTTTTTCGGTGAGCGGCGGATGATGGTACACAGGATTCGCCTCCATAAAGGCGGTGGTGCAGATCTTCGCAAGGTGTAAATTGAATCCGATCTGAAAAAAAAAACAATACTTAATACCAAAAATTAAGAATGAAGTAATCATAAAAATATAAACTGAGTGTGAGATTAATTGGCTTTATTTTACATTTTTATGATATCGCTAAATCATTATAAATGAGTTCGTTATAGACGTGATGAAAGACGAGAAATTTAGTATTGTCTACAACATAACACAAAGCTTAGTGAGGAGTTCTAATGTATGATGAAAGGATGTAATCTTGCCAAGGTAACACTAACTAACCTTGAAATGACAAGGAAAAACCTACGCCTACTACGCTACTTTTTTAATTTGTCATTGTCAACCAAGCAAACACCTCAACACACTGGGGCTAGTAGACACACTTTAAAGCAGGAAGTATGAACCAGAAGACCAAACTGTAGAGCATGACCTATGTTCGGCGAGCTCTGGCCTATACCTGCTCACATAAGAGTGATGTCCCCTAGTGACTTGTTCACCGTCCTATAATGGGAGGATGTATAATAGGCTAAAAACGACAGCTCCCTGGGATGTACAATGGTTCAATTGTGGCCTAAGTGCCGTGGGACCTCCCGACTCTAGAGATACAGGGAATAGATGACGAAATTTCATATAGAAACGGGTAGTAATCATTGAAAGAGACACACGAATGCTCAGGTCTAGATTCACAATGCTCTAGAACCCTTTGCAATACCTTATATTCCATCTATGGAATATGGTAGGTACATAATTACAACAATAGATTTGCATCGCTTAAGACAAGAAATTAAAGCTATTTGGAAGTCATATGTCGAAAATATTACTTTTCTTTCTTATGTACCTACCCAACAAAAATTAGGCAGATCTCCAAAGGACAATCCTAAAACTAGCAAACCAGAAACGAAACGGTTAAATACTATAATATGACCAAAGAATATAGACGCTTATAGAAGAATCTTTCACTGTTATGTTTGAAAGTTTGCAAAAGATGATCGCACGTTATGAAAAAGAATGAGAGGGTGGATCGAGAAGGGAGCGGTCATGTCAACGCTATTATTGCTTTTAAAATATGAAAGAGTGGGGCAACAAATGCAACAGATATTTTTATGTATAATGCCAGAGAACTACGAACACATAATGCCGCGTGGCCGTAGAATAGGATTAAATTTTTGCGTTTTATAATATTTTTTAAAGAAAATAATATTTTAACTTTTAATAAATGAATCCTATTAGAAAAAATATTATGATTCGAATTTTTAATTTAAATAGGTACAAATAATATTATAGTTAATAAGAACTCTCTTCTTATTAACTATAAAATTAATTCAACCAATAAAGTCATCAATCACCGGAATTAAATATTTCCAAATTTTCTAAATTTAATAATTTCTTCTTTGTTTTTAATATAAAATAAAATGTAAAACACAACACTGTTTTTTCTGCAGAATAATGGAAACATGTCTAAAAAGCTTAATGAAAAGTCCTGAGAAAATCAAATTTTTGGTTGAATTAACCCAAAAATTAACGAAATATTTTAAAAAAATATTTCGTTAATTTTTGGACAGAAAAACAGTATAATAAAAATTTATGTGACGGTTTTTCGTTGTGTTGGAACAAACCTATTTTTAATTCAAAGTTATAAAATGTAAAAAATAAATGCTTTGAATATTGTAAATATCATACCTTTTTAATTTCAAAATTAAAAATTTAACAATTTAATATATTGAAACTAAAGATTTTATTGTGAAAAAAAAAACAAAAAAAGCATGGGATTTTTTTTAATCGTAGATGCAAAGTTAAATAAATAGCTCCGTTCGTACTCCTTTCCCACTTTCCCCTAACTACATCTTTTATGAGATAGTTTAAGCCGACTGCCAGATGTATTTTAAAGTGTAAACCCTAACCAAATCGTCCATTTGAACTGTTCTTCTATAAGCGTCTATATTCTTTGATATGACTAAGAGATCTTGGACAAAAAATAAAAACCATATTCTTCTTGTAGAAAAACTCGTAGATAGACAACGGCAATATTTTTTCGAATGATAAATATGGTATGGATAAGTAGTTCATTTCTCAAAGGTTTGGCTAAGTTCCTTACTACACCATACATCCATCCGAGATATTTTGTAACTCTTAATTTATACATGTTTTAAAATTTTTATTCACATAATTTTCTGTTTGATCATGTTAAATGTATCGTAAGTATAAATATATATTTAATGATTATGGTATACATGTAACATGGATATTTTAACATCATATAAGCTATAAGAACAAAATTGGTGGCACCCTTTTTTGGCAATTATCATTTGTTTCTTTGTTCTGTTTATTTAATATTTCTGGTTTACCTCTAGTAGCTATTATCTTGTATTCTTTTCTTCTCATCCTCCCCAATTCTACTTTGGTTTGTGTAATAGTGGAACTGTCTAAACAACCACTCCCACATCTCTTCCGACTCTGAGCAACGTGGCCGACTTTATTTATTTTGTGTGCCTCAAACATGCTCAACGTTTCTTTTGCTACACATAATATGGCACCCATGTTTGGAATATACTCTAATTTTGCTACAGTATGAACATTTTTTTAAGTTTTTAATATAAGAGTTGCCTTGTAAAATTATATTTTATCTTTAAAAAAACTTAAACGGCACATTAATCAACGAAACATAGTTTTTTTTCTTCAAATATATACATATCATCCACATGATGATTAGTTCCAGCGGTATCTCATACCGATTGTAGCAGTATCTCATACCGGTGGTAGCGATAGAATAATAACATTTTTTAATGGTAGTGGTTAAAGGTTACACACAAATCTTTATTCCCTTATTACGTCGTTAGAACCGCATTTTTTTAGTTTTTACAGTTTTATGATTTCACATATTTATGGATTTTTCTATACAATACCCATCTATTAGTTCTATCCATCGTATATGTTGAATTCGAATTTAAATCAGTAAAACTATTTCTTTAATTTAAAATATTCTGTAGGTACCGTCTTTGAAGAGCAAACTAATCATGTAGAGAATCTTAAAATCTGACTTGCATAATCCTAGTTCGAGTTAAGTAATTGATTCTAGGTTTTATGTCTAATTACAAAAGGTGCGGCCATTACTATTACTCTGATCTAACTGCAAATAACTTTCGTCGACCTTGTTCTTACATTACGATATTAGTTAAACGCGGAAAATGCTTATTTTGCTTTCTGTCACACCCAGAATATATATTTAATGTTATTGTTTCAACCTTCAAAGATGTTACGGAAATATCCAAAATTAGATCTGTGAGGGAAAAAAAGTATTATTACAGTATACAAGGCGATATACGTCACTCACAATTGAAAATAATCAAATTATAATAAAAGCAGAGTTGCCAGATGTGTTTGAGAACAAAAACACCTTTTTAATTGGTTTTTATCAGTGAAAATGACAAAAATAAATTTTAGAATCTACTTTTTTAGACCCATTGGTGAAACTGCTTTTAACAACATATTTTAGATGAATGCAGTGTAACTGGCAATCTCAAAAAAAATATATACAGATGATACAGGGCCTGATATAATCAGAGAAGAAATAGAATATGCAATCAAACAAGCAAAAAGTGGTAAGGCCCCCGGTCCTGATGAAATTCCCGTAGAACTGCTCAAACTTATGGACGATGAATCTATTAAAATACTCCTAGATCTATTTAACACAATATATAGAACTGGAATAATACCTAGGGAATGGCTCCGTTCGACCTTTATACTACTGCCAAAAAAGGCAAATACAAAGGAATGCAACGAATATCGTACGATAGCTTTGATGAGTCATGCTCTAAAACTGTTCTTAAAAATAATCCATAATAGGATCTATAGGAAATTAGACGTAGACATCAGTAACACTCAGATGGGATTCAGAAAAGGGCTAGGTACAAGGGAGGCTCTGTTTGCAATAAACGTTCTCTCACAGAGATGCTTAGACATGAACCAAGAAATTTACGCCTGCTTTATTGATTTCGAAAAGGCCTTTGACAAAGTACAACATGAACCACTAAGACAAGTTCTAATAAAGAAAAATATAGACAGCCGAGATATTCAAATTATATGCAATCTATATTGAAATCAAACAGCAAATGTCAAGGTTGAGGGCAGACTAACAGAAGAAATTCAAATCCGTCGAGGAGTCCGGCAGGGATGTATCTTATCGCCACTTTTATTTAATCTGTATAGTGAAGCTATCTGTGAACAAGCACTCGAGGAAGAAGATCTTGGTCTGATAATAAATGGTGAGACGATCAACAATATAAGGTATGCTGACGATACAGTTCTCCTAACGGGAACGCTAGTAGAACTACAACATCTCGTTCAAAGTCTCAATATATACTGTAACAGTTACGGCTTGAAAATTAATTTGAAAAAAACTAAATTTATGGAAATCACAAAATCAAAGAACATCAGAGCTAATCTTGTAATAGACAATACAACGATTGAGCGTGTGCCCTGTTATAAATATCTAGGTGCTTGGATCACAGACGATACTGATCAAACAAAAGAGATTAGATGTAGAATACAAATCGCTAGATCAGTCTTTAATAGAATACGCAAACTCTTTTGCAATCGTGATATCAATATAAAGTTACGAATACGAATGCTGCTGTGTTATGTCTTTTCTACCCTGTTATATGGAGTTGAGGCTTGGACACTAAAACAGTTGACCATAAAAAACATCGAAGCTTTCGAGATGTGGTGCTATAGGCGCATTCTCAGAATATCATGGATGGACCGCGTCACTAACACGCAAGTACTCCAAACTTTAGACAAAAGATGCGAAATTCTAAATGAGATAAAAACTAGAAAGATGGAATACTTGGGGCACATTGTGAGAGGTGAAAAGTACGAACTTTTAAGAAACATCATGCAGGGCAAAATTAAAGGCAAAAGAAGTGTGGGAAGAAGAAAAATATCGTGGCTTCGTAATCTACGTAAATGGTTTGGGTGTAGTTCGATTAAACTTTTTAGGCGCGCTGCTAACAAAGTCGCAGTGGCCTTGATGATTT